ATCTGAACTATTGCTGGTGTCTTCTTGGTGGTGGTGGACTCCATAACGTATCAAAGGTGAATCATAATCTAGGATCAGTGTAATATTCAGTTACAAATATATATGCATAATAATTTTTAAAATAAAACATATTGTGATTGTTTAAGTATTTACCTTAGGCCACTCTCAGTAACAAATACGAATCGACGAAAAAAAATGTCCATTTTGAGAAAGGGGAGGGGAGCTTCAGCCCGAAAGCTCCTCCCTATAGATCAGTATGTGAAAAATGTCACAAAAATGACACAGAACAAGTTTGAAAATACCCAATGTTTGTTTAAGTAGGCAATGACAAATATTGTTCCTTTTTTTTTTTTAGTTTAAAATTATTAGAGTGCTACCAGTGGGTAGATTCTCAACAAGTCTTTTAATATCATGTTATTTTTCTGTATCACATTTAGTAGATGTATATCTATTTCTATACAGTTGTAAATTTGATGAAATAAAAAAAAAATTAATTATTAAGAATTTATGCTTCATTATTTTCTTTTATAAATAAGCAATTTTTCGCTATACTATGAATTGCGTATACTTTACCAGCTTAAATAAAGAACAATAATTTTTTTTCGAATTTTTTTTCGTTCCTCTTTCCTAAGAACTCTAATAAAGAACTATTAATAAATTTTCACCAAAAACTTCAGTAGAGGTGTGTCGGGTGAAAAGGGTGTAATCAGCAAGGGACAGATACTCTAAGGGCGAGGGAATTAGTTAATATTTCGTAATTAGATTCTCTGAAAATCTTGAAATATTAACAACCAACCTGTTGCTGAATTAAACAGAAATATGATACGACAACTGAAATGGGAGCTATACAATCTTTCTTATTGCAAGGATGGTAAGTTTAAATAAATTTTCAGAATTTGATGAACCTTAGGAACATAACATATCGAAAATCAGTTATCGACTTTACTTCCTACACTTTAAGTGATACAACAAGTAGCATCATTATACAAGAATTATACAAAAAAAGAGACATTAATTGAAGGCTATATATTAAAAAAAAATGTTTATTTTGTTTACTTTTTGTTTCGGAAACATTATAATTAATAGCCCGTGGTACAGACTCCTTTTTATCGAATTACCAACATCCGCCTGAAACTTTGTAAATAGTTTCATCTCATCGTAACCTACAACTATTTTATTTATGAAAACTCTTGGAATTGGGGCGTTATCAATCTGGAGGGGGACAGACTTTCTCTATTTAATGAAGTATTACAAACTCGTAAATACCCATTTACTTTCTATTGGGATCGTAAGATAATTTGATTACAAAATGGAGAAAAAAGGTGGCCTACAAAAATATTGAGCCGTTTGGCGTGAACTACACTCCCCAATTGTCAAAATAACGATCTTATATAGAGCAAACGGCCCAATATTTTTTTAGGCTACCTTTTTTTATCGATTTTGTGATCAAATTATCATACGATCCAAGTAGAAAGGAAATGGGTATTTACGAGTTTTTAGTCCTTAATTAAATAGACAAAATTTTTCCCTCTCCAGATTGAAAACGCTCCAATTCCCATAGTTTTTGTATATAAAATATTTGTAGGTTGCGATGAGATGCAACTATTTACGAAGTTTCAGGCGGATGTTAATAATTCGATAAAAAGGGATCTGTACCATGGGCTATAAGCATTCAATGCCCTTGGATATAGGAACGTAATCAAATGATATAAAAAAAAAAAAATCATCTGTTTCTTGCTTCTTATGTAAATGAGAAAGACGATTAAAGATAAATCATAAATTTAATATAAATTATAATTTTTTTTTAAATTTAAAAAATGAAGTAAATTATAACAATAGCAGTGGTTATGCTATTCCCATTATTGGATGCAGAAAGAGAATGTTGAACAAGTTAATTGACATTTTGCCGATAAAGACAGGCTTACTTTGAGACGTGCGCCATAATTCACCAGATAACAAGTTTATTTATTTATTTTGTTTTCCACGGGCAGTCGAATGCAGGGCCTCATAACTCCTCAATAATTAGGCAATTGCATACTAACGAAGGGAGAAAAGAAGGGGAATCGAAAGTGGTTTTGTGGCGAACAATTAATTAACTGCACAGCATTTATAAAAAAACAAAACTATATATATAAATAAGCAGATACCTGTTTGGATATATATGGTTAATCCGCGGGAGGTACTTGCCAACGTACTCAGCCCATTTAAATTTTAAAAGAATTCTCATAAATCCCTAATAAGCCACCCAATTTGGAGGGACAAGGTGGAAGGTATAATTCTGTTTAAATAAATGGCAGTAGGAGAAAATGGTGAGCGCTAATGAAGGGGATACCCGAGGGCACGCGATCTACCGGCCGACAAAGGAGTAGGGGGTCGTAAAGCTGTCCTCCCGGTTAGTGCAAAAACTGCTCTTTCTGTAGCGGCACCCGTCGCAAAAACTCACCCTCTGTTATTGGTTAATTGGATACGTCCTTGTCTAATAATAACTTAGCCGAGTAACAGTTACCTAAGTCTTCCTGGAGATCATTAACTAAGCTACGTTCTCAAGTCATGTAACGGTTTGTGACAGCATGACCGATTCGGTTCAATCGAGAATAGTAACTAACGAGTACTTATTTAGGATATAGACTGTTGCTACCAACCCACTACTGCCACCTGTTGCACACATCCCTATTTAATTCGTGGTTACTTTAGGTGAAAGGTTTGTATAAAAGAAATAACTTTTTAAAGGAAGGAGATGGACCGGGGCGGCGGTCATAAATAGGCTAAATAGTGGCAAAACTATTTTAGGCCTATTTATGACCGCCACCCCGGACCATCTCCTACCTCTATAATGCAACTACTATTTTCAACTATTAAATATTGAAAATAAATTTTTGCTACAAAGCAAAATTTTTTCGATAATTCTGTGACGGTTGTTCATATTGTTCATTTTTAATTTTTTCATATTGAAATTTATATTTCTAACATTGATTAATAGTTATTGAAGGAAGTTAGTCGACTGTTCTACATATGATTGGTGATAAATAATCAGGAGGCAGTCATTATAAAGTTCTTATTAGTGCAGACGTTTCAACCCAAACATGTGGGCCATCATTAGGGTGTGTCTCGAGCACTGATGATGACCCATATGTTTGGGTTGAAACGTCTGCACTAACAAGAACTTTGTAATGACTGCGTCCTGAATATTTATCACCCATTGATTAATAGTATTATTTTAATATTATTATAAAATAAAAAAATAAAAAACTTATTTTATTCGAAAGAAAGAAAAAAATTATATTTTTATTCAAAAGAAAGAGAAAAAACTACTACAACTATTCTTAAATTAGGTAACGCTAGTAAGAGGCTCTTACTGCGAGCTATAATTCTTTTGAATGAATCACAGCCGGATCCATGAGAGTACTTTTCAGGCTCAAGATTCCCCCTCCCTTATATTTGTTTCAGTGTGATCCGAGTTGAGTAGTTCAACAAACAAAATATCTACTATTTTGAAATCATAAAACATATATTTCATATAAATGTAAGCACGATTTAAGAAAAACATTTAAAAATGTATGCCTAAAAGTATTATATCTGTAAGTATTATATCTGTAAAAACAGATATCAATTTCTTTTTTTTTTTTTACAAGCCTTCAAGGCCTACTCAAACATTACTTTATGTTCTTTCTTTCTTTTTAATTCGGGATAATTAATAAATACAATTTATAAGGAATCCTGAATTCACCACTGCAATGAATCATGTATTCTTCTACTCCGTGTTAGCTTTCATATGTCATCTAAAACCAAATAACTAAGTTTTTAGTTTTTGGTATAATTATTTATAATATAATATAAGTCCAACTTTAGACTAAATTAAGTATTTGTGAGTTCTATTATTCTATTATAAAGCACTAGGATATACAGTGAAATTTCTCTCAGAGGTCACTTCTATAGGTGACAGTTTTTAAAACTCAAATCAAATTTGTAATAATTTATAGTATTAAGGCCTTCCGCATATTACACTGCAAACCAGTGAAGCTCATATGGCAAGAACATCAATTTGTAGGGAATATAGTTTTATTCTTTCGAGATTAGTTCTACAGAATTGATTGACAATATGTCAAGTCGTTTCGTTTCCATTTAAATTTAATTGTAAAAAAAATGATTAGTGCGCTCGGGAAGAACTTAGTCTCCGGGGTTTATAATGGAACTTCAATCCTTAACACTCTAAACCACATAACTGAACAATGAAATAAATACTGGAACGAAAATTGACTGGAAATATTGAACTTCCAATGACAGATATTTGAATAATGACCTTTCCTGAGTTTTTTTCCTGAGGCTACAAACAAAAAGTTATGATATACCACAACTCTTGGTAAAAAAAAAATCAACAATGGTTAGTTGGAAAGGTGGTAACTTGTGACACGAAGAAACATGGATAAAACTACTTTTATTTTCAAATTTGAAGAACAATATTATCATCTGAAATATTAAGCAACACCAGTTCTTATTGTTAATAGATCTGTTTTGTTTTTTTGTAGAAGGATTGGGCACAACTCCTGGGCACAAAACTTTTACACGTTGGTGATCGCCGTGATTTGTGTATCGTATAAACGCGACAGAATTGACTGTTAACAATGGCTATAATAATTACAGAGAACCTATTTATTTTATGGTTTTGATTATGCAAATTTCTCATATTTTATGCTCATATGGGACCGATATTGGTGGGGAGGAATGGAACCAATTCAAACATCGAGGGAGGGGTGAGAAAGCGTCACCGAAGCCCCACATAGATCGACACCTGCGCTATAAAGTAAACATCTTGTGAGCTCTGAAAGATCACAACCTTCATTAAATTAATGAAAGTGAGACTATAAAGCTGGAATATTTTCCTGTTTGTTATGGAGAGATGGCGCCTGGTTAGAGAAGACGATGTAGCTATAACTCGGAAGAGGTAATCAGATGTAGATTGGTGGAGCGGGATGTTAATTGGCTAGAGCTAGGGCAGGTAGATGGGCCAGGCAGGTGTCACTAATGTGCCGGGGCAGACACCTAACCATCCTCTGCCAACACTAACCTCGTATTATCCATCCCTACCTGCCCTTCATGGAAGGGGTCACTGCCTAACCAGGCCAGTATCAAATGAACAGAGATAACTCTTATTGTCTACTGAAGCGATAGGGTATGGTGTAATGGCGTTCAGATTTTATTTATATTTTTTCTAAAATACTTTGGAAGATAAGTGGTACTCGAATAGGTTTAAATTTAGGCAGTAAACTACGCGTGCTTGTGTTCGTATTAATGATTCGTTTGGTATAGCTTGATGAAGATGCGGAAACTATTAAAGACAAATTGTATTGTGAATAGTCGAATATCTTAAATATCTACATTAGGATATTCTTTTGAATACCTAGAAAAATTGTAATAAGTGTTGGGAATGTAAAACAGCAATTTAATGTGAAATGTAGAAAAGAGCAAGGAGTGAAAATGTAATTTACCAGTTGCAATATTCCTCTTCTTATGGGGGCGTGGTGGCCGAGCGGATTAACTCGGGTGCAAAACACGCTTTGCCTGTCAATAGTTACGGAATGGACTTAATCCGTAACAACTATTAATATTAACTTTTATTTTATTTAATAATTTAATCATACATTGACCTTCCTCATGACCTTTATCAAAGCATTAAGGCACAAAGCCCTAGATAGCCAGGTCAAGCTATCTCTGATAGCTTAGAAATAGTTATCTAGGATGTACTGACTGGACAGAAGACACTTATCAAAACTTAAGGAACAATAACCGTTTTCAACAAACGAGCACTTTCTCACAGACTTTATATCAATTCTAAAAGATAAGGCTATCAATTCTTAACTTCATTCACACGCTTCCTAGACCGTCCAGAATTGATTCATCCCCCCTACTATTCCTGAGCATATAACCCCCATCCTTCTAAGACCAAATCACTCATGTAGTTGCATTCTTGAGTCATACTCTTCACTGTAGGAAACCTGGAGTGAACTGATGTAGTCAACTCATATATCCATATTATATTACTCTGTATTTTAGATGCCATTTGTAACATTATGAATAAAAACATTACTTATAAAGTCTCCACTGACTCTGATTCGTTAACTAATGAATCACATGATAAACCGAAGTTTACGAGATATGAAATAATTACGAGTTCGTGTCCCTGTGCCGAGGAAATGTGCTTTTAACTCTGGCATTAAACCCCCGCCCCTTCCTCTGACCCGTAAAAAATCCCATATAGTCTAAAACGCGAGGAAAAGGAAAACACTTCCTCAACTTGCAATTCGATTTTAGAATTAACATTTTCTATAATTTTATCCTTCCTACAATTTATGTCTAACAAAGCAAAAATAAAAACCACGGTTAGTGCTTAACACGATAGAAATGAAAACATCAAGGGCGGAATTAATAATAAGAAATATTTTTTTTTTTTCACAATAGTCTTGGTCTTGCAACACTTAGGTGGACTTTGTCTTGGTCTCACAATGTGCAAGACCAAGATCGATTTTGGGCAACACTAATACGAACTATTAATAATTGATTTTATTAAAATTATAAAAAATTTAAAATATGAAAAATATCATTACATTTCATAACTAATCCTCTCCTTTACCGCATACGGTCTCTTCTCCTTTTCTAATCTAGTTCAAGCTTCTGGAATGTATCTCTCACACTATATTCTCAGCAGGACTATTGAGTAGATTAGGTTGCGTAGCTTCCCCCTTTTCCTCTTCTTTTTCATTCTTCTCCATAGATTCGAGTTATTACAGACTATAAATAACTAGAAATCTCTACGTATTTATTAACATATGTTAATATCAATCATAAAAGTAGGCAAACATCAACAGAAATCGAAATTGGCGTTATTGAGGGTGTCCCGTAAGTAGAGGGGAATATTAATAGGGGTGATAGCAGACCTCAAGATCTACAAAAAAAGTTCATATCAACAATGGGCCAATTCGCAACAGGAAAATAGGAAATCTATGGGAAGTCGTGTTTTTTGTTGAATACGAAGCGATAAGTAAGGAAATATTAAATTTAAGGAATTAAAAGTAGCTTCACTGTAAACTAGATGACGTTTACTTAAAATGAAAACCGAGTTTGTGCTGGTTAAAACCATTCAAAGGGGACTTTTGAGCAGCTAAACTAAGATAAATTTTGTTTATAAAAAAAATAATTTTTTAATCATTTTAAATTTCAGTTTAATTACGTTTTAATTAATTACGTTGAGGTTCATAATGCAAAAACTTGAGATTCACCTAAAGTTGTGTAAAATAATTATGCGATTTTTAATACTGACAACAGTTTTCAGCAAAAATGCCTGTAATTAACTGTTGCATAGCTTTTATTTCTTGTTTTTCCATTATCTTGGGTGTATTATAATAAACATAATTGCCTAAAACACTTTTTATTAATATACTTTTTTTTAATTAATGAATTTTCAAATATTTTTCACGTAAAGTGGTTATTAAATGTGTGTTTTTCTCACAGATCACTGTCACATAAATTTAACCGTACCTGTAAGTGACAAACTTAATGTTCCTGATTCTAGTATTTACGTTTTGATGAAAATAATTGAAGCGATCAGTGGGTTTCATTAATATGTATTTTTTTATGTATGTAAATATTAGAATCTGGAAAATTCATTTTGTCACTAATAAATACAAATGAATTTCTATGACAGAGATCTGAGATAAAACACAGTTTCATAACTATTTTGCAATGAAAATATTTTTAAAAATCACTAATGCTTCCTCACTACCGAAGGTATATTCGTGCGAAAGGTTAAAAAAAATTATGTGCTCAGAATCGAAAATTTCCACTCGCGTTTTACGTTTCAGATATCAACGATCAAATTTGGTTCGGTGTCTGTCTGTCTGTTGTCAAATCGATGTAGCGGACATATAACTACTACCGTTTACTGGATTATCATGAAATTTTCAGGAATTGTGCGGGTTGGTGTCTAGATGGCTCTGTATAAATTTCATTGAATTCTAACCAGCACTTCCGTTTACGCACGCGCAAATTCATTTTTGTAGATATGTCAAATTTCAGAAATGGCTTATTCGATTTGGCTCAAAGTTGGACAAAAGGTAGGTAGGTATTTGTGAAAAAACAATAAAGTGTAAATTTTATTGCATTCTGTATATTGCTTTCTCTTATATATGCGCAAACGTGTTATTCTTGATTCGTCTATATCTCTAAAACCGTTAGTTCGATTTAGCTCAAATTTGGAGAGAATTCAGGGATTGGTAAAAATAAAATGAAATAGGCATCAATTTCATCAAATTCTATCTACTACTCACAAAAAAAATTCTTCAATTTTCAGATTAGGAAATGTGTATTTGATATGCCTATAGTTTGAAATGGCGCATTCGATTTCGCACAAACTTGGAGTAAATTCGCAGAACAATATAGAGATTACTTAGTATTAATTTCATTGAATTCAATTTAATAATTAAAATTAATATAAATGATTGTTAACAATATAGTGGCTGTGAAATATGGAAGGCACTGATCATATGGAAGGTGAGTTAGGTTATTACAATATTGTTATGGGGCTATACAATTTTAGGTTTTAATCACAAAATGAATTTATACTGTATTGTTTGGCCGATTCCAAACGTTACTGGCATGACACTTACTGCGGTTACTTAGATTTCGTTTAATTAAAAGTAATCTCCACTCGGAATTTGTAAAAAAAAAGTCTTATTTGTGAATGTGTTTATTTCCATTGAAGTTCAACCAGCTCGCCGTGGTCTCGATTTTCTCCTTAAATATCAAAATTGTATAAACTTCACTCATAGTTTTATATTCCAGCTTAATTAGTTCTGTTCTAACTGAAGAAAAGTATTTTTTGTTCCAACCATTTTACGAGTGAAAACATAGTTATTAAGTATATATTACTACTGTTAATGCTAAGGTCGTATGTAAAATTTTTCAATTTTAGTTCTATTTTTGACATTATGTAGCCTGCAATGACATAAAGTCTACCACTATGAAAAATAACAGAGGGTAATAAAATATAAAATTATACTAATAAATCATAAATAATTAATTAGTTTTTATGCTCATTTGCACAAACAGTAGCGGGTACATATTCAGTATGCACTGCTTTTTTTTTTTTTTTTTTTTTTTAATTACGGATTATCAAACAAATGTTCAATTTGCAAATGCGGAACTTTTTCTCATTTTAGTATTTGCTAATAGACTAAATTCGTGGATGTGTTGCTCAAGCCTGTATGTGTTGAGGGATTACTGAATTTCCGAAAATTGCTTCTTCCACAGATTTTATTCTCATAAGAAAATTTTTAGACTTTTTAATATAAATTTAATTTAATTTAACAGCAAATGAAAACGGCGAGGAAGCTATACTGACCTTATGTGTTGAATAGGAAGCTATATCTAGAGGAATATTTATTTCACTCGTAAGTAATTAAAAATTACTTCACTGTAAACTAAGATAAATTTGCTTCAAATGAAAGCAGTAACTTTTATTCCTCTATTATGGTTTCTTTCGGTTTAACTTTAAGTTTACTGGAACGGTCAAAATTAGATTAATTTTTTTTGCACAATTCATTAACTTCATCAAAAGAAATAAAAATTTTAACTTATCTTGATTGGATTTCAATTAAATAAATTTTATCAACTCCTCATTACGATTATTTAATTAAAAACAATATCATGGAATATCTTACATAACACTGTTTTTAAGCACTTCTGTAGATTTAGTGAGAAGTTGAGACATTTAAGATGGATCTTATCTCAATTAATCAAGAATTATAATTCTCAAGTTCATGTGTTCGAAGAAAGAAGCCGCACCTGGCAGGAAGCCGTGGTGAATCTGATGTTCTCTTGTTCCTTTCAATTGCCACAATAAAAGCTCATTCCCATTCAAAAAAATACACTTTACGTCGGGGAAACAGGAGGACATTTTATATTATCCATTGCGCTTTATTTTTTCAGCTTTGAGAATTATTCGCCATGAAGTGAAATTTAGTGCCGATATCTCCGCTCGATAGCAACTGTATAACAGGAAGTGCACTGCCATAAAATTGCAGAGATTTCCTCTCTTTCATTGGCTCCCTCGCTTTCCAAGGTTTTTTAAAAGAAATTAAAGAACTAATTTTTTCATAAGATGTATATCTAAGTAAACAAAAGATAATTAATTCGTTAACAATATAAATGTAGCAGATCTTCACCTTATTTAGCCTTTAATGTTCTTTTATTTTTTTTCATAACAGTAATTTACCGGTACTGGTGATTCTTTTTGCCAACAACTTACCTTGAGGTTCCCTTTCTTGGGCTAAAAATAAATAAATATTAACTGACCAAAGTGTAATCGTATCCACAACGTGCCGGACCAGGCCATTAACTCCAAAGTACACGTTCCCAATACGTAGCCTAGTACATTTGGACAATGTTAATGTTTAGGCAACTTTCCAATTTTAATCAAGGCAAGAAAAATAACTCTCATCAGTTTCCTACAGGCAACACTCAAATTATGGCAACACTACTTTTATGCAGTGGACTGTATTTTAATGGATTGGTAGGTTATACTGATTGTGCAAAAATAGGTTACCATCTTTATACCAGCTTACAACATCTCTTTGTTACCATGATGCCGCTCCCGGAGCATCTGCCGTGTCTGACTATCTGTGCTGGTACTGATTAAGCGTTATCTTTTAGATCTTCTGATCTGCCCTCACCGCTCGCCATAACGAGCAAACTTGTAACTATTTTCGCACAAACAGTTAATCTTATAACTCTTTAGGAAAGAATATAGAACGCAAAAAAGAAATTATTGTTGGTACTCGAAGTATTGCGCTAATATGCTATCGTCATTAGTGAAGAAAGTTGTAGTAAAAGAGGATGGTAGACTATATCAATGAGAATAAGATTTACCTTATATTAGAAATATCTTAATTGCACATATTGTTATTATCATGGAAATCGTAAAAATGTGTTTAACCTATATGAAATGAGACTTCCTGAAAGTAGATTTTGATGAATAGAAGAAGTTTCTGCGAATTCCAGTCGTATTCATACACTACTTACGTATACATTCCTTTAAGAAATTTCAGTTTCGTTGAACTTTATTTTTAGAGGTAGTCTGTTCAACACCATAACTCACTAACACAAACAGATTTTTTTAGGATTTAGTTATTTAGGCTCATGGTACCTTAAAATGTGTATTTCCGTTGAAAATTCAGATTCGAATGTTTTCACAATCGCAATGCTTTTCCCTTACTATATATTTCATTTGTAGGTAATTGCTACATATAAGCTAAAGCAAATAAATAACAATAATGAAGGTTCTAAAAAAAGATTAATTAATTAGGAGGAAGTTTAAATTTTTTTAGAATTGAGACAAAAAAATCGTCATACGGTTCTGATATGGCAGTTATACCTGATGCCTTCCAGGAAAAAGACTCGTTCGACTTCTAGAAGAGCGGTGCCCAAGGAGGAGCCGTTGACCATCGCAGGAAGCAGCTGGGCAGAGCTAATCCTCGGAGGATCCTAAACCAACAAACCAGAGCGGGACCATAATGGACAGAGGCAGGCCACTGATCCTATAGGCTGCACTGTATCCTTTGTCCATGGGTGGACGCTGACAACCCCCACAAAGACCGCCTGTTTTCTCGGGAAATTTATCTCCTCCATTATATATTTATACAATGAGCGATGTTGCCCCCGCAAAAACTTGAGGTCGTGGGCGTTTCGTGTGTGACAGTGGATTTCTATAATTGGTCCTGTTTATTTGGGATCGTCCTTCTACAGGTACGGCAACTCGAAAATATTTTTGAAATGAAAATAAACAATGTTCATAATAATCTTAAAGATGTAATTAACATCCAAATATTTACAATTGAATCTGGTAGAATTTGAATACCAGAGTGATACTGGTTGGGCTAAATAATTTTATTAAAGAATTGTAATTATATATATATATATATATATATATATATATATATATATATATATATATTCATAAGATTATTATGAACATTGTTTTTTTTTTCATTTCAAAAATATTTTCGAGTTCCCGTACCTGTAAAAGGACGATCCCAAATAATATGTATATATATATATATATATATATACGAGGTGTTCCGTCAGTAAAGGAAAATATTTAAACCACAGAGCTACATAAAACATTTTACGCAAAAAAGCAGGAAATTAAAGTTTTTTGTTGAGTAGAAACTGATAAGAGCGAGGTGGTCGCCAACCCAGATTAAGGATAATATGATAAATTTATTACGAGTTCGCGTCTCGGGAATTTTAACTCTGGCTTTATTCCCCTGCCCTCACCTTCTGGCCCCGGAAAACCCCGTATAGCCTAAAAGGCGGGGAAGGGAAGGACAAACAAAAAAAGTTGAAAGCGATAACTTCATAAATATTTAATTTATATCATTAACAATTGCTTTATAAAAAACTAGAAAAATTTCTTAAAATACAATTGGAGTTTGTGTTTTTTAAAGCCATTTGAAGGAGACATTTAAGCAGCTACACTAGTGTTTTTCATAAAAATATCGATTAATATGGACTTTTTCACCCTCCCACTGAATTACAGATACCCCTCATTTGTAAAAATTACCATGTTTAAACCCATGTTTACTAAATTGATTTTTGTTACCAAATAAGGAATGAATAAGTTGCGATTCAGCTCTAGTCGTGTAATAAAGTTATTTTATTTGATAATGGTGTGAAGATAGTTGACCGTTGATTGCTGTCGTGGGCTCAATAAATAAAATACTATTATGTAATCTAGTGCTTTATATATTGGCCATACCTCCGACTGACATGTTCTGATATTTTATTTGATGTGTTATACTAGATTACTTGTGTTTTCAAAAAAAAAAAAAAAAAAAACCTGTATCATTCCTTGAAGGCTCATGGCAGCAGATACAACTAAAATAAATTATTACAAAAGGTTTAATTTATTTTTCTCTTTTACACTGACTGTATTATCATGCATTAATTACGAAAATATACATTTTATATACTAAAAATAGCGCTAATGTACTCGTGTTTGATACTAGGGCTTTTTATACTGATCTTTTTTATGGTAATTGAACAGTATTGTATTAAGCAATCAACTAATTGTTCCTAATCCTATTATTTAATTTTTTCATGAATATAATTCAAACAGTAGCTTTAAAATCTAAAGCTAGCACCACCTTCTCTCTATTGCTTCGCTAACGACACTGCAATTCTTTCTTCCCACAAAAACCTACTATCGCATAATTGCCCTTCAAAACCACCTCTGTGATCTTCATAAATGGTTCGAGAAATAAAGTATTAAAATAAATAGTAGTAAATCCACCCACGTGACTTTCTCTCCTAGGATAGCCTCAGGTCCACCCATAATGATTTACGATTACCCAGTGCCTTAAAAAACTTTGTACGGTACTTCGGACTTAACTTAGACAAAAGAATTACCTGGAACACACATACTAAATTAAAAAGACAAGAACTGACTAGATGATTTAACCAACTCTCGCATCTTCTGTTCCACAGATCTTCACTTAACTTATGAAACAAGCGACTGATCTACAATACCAAACTGAGACCAATTTGGGCCTACGGAGCTCAACTTAGAGGTTCGGCTAAACAAACAACACAATAAAAAATGTTATGAAAAATTGGCAATGCAACTTGGTACATTTCAAATAAAACTCTACATAACGACTTAAACATCCCAACAGTAAAATCGTACACCCAAGACAAATACACTTCATTTCATTCTTCCACTCTCAATCATCCAAACCACTCGATCTGTCTCTTTCTTCCTCCCTGTTACCTGATCGACGAAGACTAAAAAGAAAATGGCCAAGGGACCTACTCCTACAACATTATCAAAACTATGTCAATCAAGCAAACTCGCAGTTAATGCCTAATTCATCAACTTTGCCAGGTGCGCTGCAGCGCAGGTGCAAATGGCTTAAAATGTTATAATAAAATTTTAAAAAATCTAAAGTGATAACTTATTATTAATGAAAATTTCTGAAAAAAAGAAACCGTGTAATCGCTTGAATTATATCCATAAAAAATTGTTAAAAGAAATCGAGCAAAAGCCTTTTTCTCAGATTCGATAGTATAAGTTGGTAATTTAAATATTTTTTAGAATAAAATTACATCCGACTTATAAAAATATAAACAACATTTGTTTTCATTGAAATTTTCTATAATTTTTACTCTTAATTATTCTCTTAATAATCAAATTAACACATTGTAGTCTTAAATTACTACAAGTGTACAGACAAACAGTAAAAGAGTTTGTTAACCATCTTAACCATATTGTAATGTTGAACAGCCTGATATATTAATAAAAATAAAAAAATAAAATAGTTCAAAAATAAATAAGTTATAAAAGTAATATTTACCTGCTTTTGAATTTAACAGTGCCAACGCCATTATTTCACCTGGCTAAGTATCAAGGCTCTTGCACACGCAAAACGTAATGGAACATCTTTGTTGGCAATGAATTGTTTATTTTTATCAATGTGATGACATTTTTAGAAGAAATTTGCGTCATAATGTAGTACATGAAGGATATGTCAATATTACTGTTCAACTGTTATACAAATTATAGATCATTCCCCTGAAGCGTGTTGGTATAATTTTAGAACATTGTTTTTGATTTCAAGGTGATTTGTCAATTCATACCTGAATCATTGATTAGCATAATTGAACTATTTACATTCATGGTGATTTGGTTTATAAAAAAATAGTAGTGGAAATATATATATATATATATATATATATATATATATATATATATATATATTTTAAGAAATAAATAAAACTAAATCTGCATTGATTCATATCTGCGTTCACTTCAATATTTTTGTTTCAGACTATACGAATACCAAACTGTACCAAGGTTATCTGGATCTGAGAATCTTTAAACTTGTAAATTTTATAAACGAAAAATTAGGAAGGTTTTATAAAATAATGTTATGAACTCTAGGAACTGAGCATTAACCAGAAACTTCAATCAATCAAGACAATCATGTTAGTAAAACTTATCGAAAATATCATTCGCAGTATTATATACTGATGACCCTACCCCGTATAATTAAATCGTTAATCGAGATGTGGTTCACTAGGATGTCAATAGCCCCCCTGAGGTCGGTCCATGGACTGTCAGTTTCTGGGAAAGAAATATAGGTCTTCGTGCGCCTGCTGACTCCGAGCAGCCATAATCCATGGATCTAGACCGATTTATCACCGTCCTTGAACCCGAGTGAGTCTGTGGGAAGGGCACTGCCAGATTGGGTCCAAAGGGATCGGCTATGGCGCTACAGGCGTCTGCACTATGAAAACCATGGCTCGTAGCAACGTGAGCTCTCGCAAGCAACATACGTTAATAAGAAGACCACATCTCGCGGCCAATGATCTTCATGGTCTGTACTGCCAAACGAAAAAAAATATATATATGTATGTATATTTTTTCCAGACAGTATAGTTGAATTGAATATACAATCTTAATAATATAAATAGAATTTTAACGCCTGTTCATCGGTAATTATTCATTATTTGACCAAACAACTTTATTTAAGGCCGAGCGGGCTAACACGTGTACATAGTAGAGAAGGGAAATTCGATTCTTTTAACTGAACCGATTCACAACGATTCAATTATTCTAATGAATAGATTCCAATGGATGATTCTCTGATTGATTCTTTTCATCTTCTTTTTTCTTTAAATAAAAAAAGGTAACATTCTCAAACCTTGTGGTTATTCAGACAAAAACATTTTTTTGTTGTTAACTTATTGAAATTAGAAGTTCCAAATATATTCAAATAAAAAACTAGGAATCTTACACATTAGATTTGGCCTGTATGTATAAATTGTAAATGAAATGAAATAAAATGTGGTACAAAGTAAATAAGCATATGTTATAGATTTACGAATACTAAATACTGACGGAAGAGTAGAAGGGCAAACGTGTGTGCACAGCACAGCCGTTGCCCGGCAACCTGATACATATACAACCGCAAATGTTTAATTTTGGTTACAACCAATTATTTCATAATAATTCACATTTACATTAAATGGAAGTAAATCTTGTCTTTTTTAAAACAATTTAAAGGAGACTTTTGAGCAGTTAAACTACGGTAAGTTTGGGTATTCATAAAATGAAGGATACTTCGCGATTCATTCTGTTACCACCCAACTAGACTGAAGAAACCACACTTTCAGAAAATCTTCTTTGTGTGATAGGCTTTAAGTTTATATTAATTAATTAGTTTTCGTTTGTTACAGAGTAAGTTGAGATTAATCCCTAATTAAGTAAAAATATGTAAAAATATTTGGGTTGATTCTTAACTTTTCCGTATTAATAATATTTTTACGCAATTAAAAAAATGTAAATTCAACTTAATTAATATAGACGTAAAGCTGATCGAACAAGAAAGTTTTTCCGAAAGTGTGGTGTCTTCAGTCCTGTTGGAGAGTTATAAAACAAATCGCGTAGAATACTTGATTTTATGAAAATCCGAACTTACCGTAGTTTAA